AGTTGATTCTCAACTTCATTCTTATATGATTGAACATATCAATAGCCTCATCTTTACTTTTAATTAAGTAAACATAACAATATCGTGTGCAATCATTAATAAAAAGTAATAAAATATATTTTATCACCTCTTGTTTACATAAACTTTAAGTCACAAACATCACTATGAATTATCGAATTATTGTTTTTATTATTTGATTTCTAGATTTCTAGTTTTTTGGATTTTATTATTCGTGTTGTTATGCGTCAATATGAGTGCACTATTCTTGCTTACTTTCTGCTATGTTTTTGCATGATTTAGTTTGAAAGCAGTATAGTATAATCTAATTATATACTCATTTTTCTATAACAATCTTAAGACAGATTTGCTCCTTCTCGGTACTTAAGGTTGACATGCAAGTGTATTCCAAGATAGAATGGATTTCATTCTTAAAGATGTAGCACTTCAATCTCCAAGACTCTAACGAACATAATTCTATGTTTATACTTGAACCGAACTTGAAATAATAATGCAGCAATATACAAAGAAAGAAAAGAAAGACTAATATTTAATTAAGTATTTTGGATAATTGTGAGAACTAAAATGAGAGTGCAATTCTTGAGTTGTTCAATGGTGTGTTTTGAGAGTGTAATGAATCACATATTTATAGACTCATTAATGACTTTTCATAAAGGATGAAACCATATGTAATGGTACCTTTTAGTCTAAAGGGTATCAATGATGACTTAATGAATAATTATTTGAAATGATGTCTTTCAGTTTAAGAGATATCAATGGTGATTTTATGAAAAATTATGACTATTTGTAATGGTGTATTTTAACCAAAAGGTGTTAATGGTGACTTTATGAAAATATGTAATTATTTAGATTGATGTATTTGACCAAAAGTCACCAATTTTGAATTAATAATTTTTCATGTCATATTCACCTCACAGATTTTCAATTACTCTCAAAAGTCACAAAGATTTTAACAATTTCTCATTTAATATTTAATAATTTTTTTTAAAATAAATATGTCATTATTTCCAACAAACATAACATAGGTCAAGCAAATGGCAGCTAGCTAGGGGTAGCTCACCCTTTGCTAGTGTCGACCGGCACATGAGTCGACAAGTAGCCATAATTCGACATGAGGGTCACGCATGGGTAGGCCCAAGAGGCAGTCACGGACAAGTCCTATTTAGTTAAAGATTAACCAGAGACTTGTAGTCCTAAAAAAACTATAGTCTGAGTATCAAGAGATTATTGATAAACAAAACCTTTCAGTGAGCATATCTTTTCTTATAATCTAGGACTTAGTGTTTTAGTATGATTTTATCTCGAATATCTAGGGAATTGGTGATGAGATCTATGCTATCAAAACCTAAAGTTCGAGCCTATGTGGAACATCGTTTCCTAGATCACTATAAATAAATGTATCAGGTATCAGGTAAGGAGATTCAATCCCAACTCATTTACTCTATACTTTTATTCGATTCGCTTGCTGACTTAAGTATCAGAATCTCTTTAACCGTCTTCAGCAATCAAGGTTCACCTAAGTTTTTGTTATCTTACAAGTTTATCAAGACTTTTCTACTATCATCTCTGTTTGTACAAGATAGTAACCCTTTACGTGAATTTATCCTCGCACAACAATTGAGTTTGAATCCTACTTATCTATTTCTCTTCTCTTTTCAAACTTTATAAAGGAACTAAGTTTTAGAAAGTGGCTTTTCTTTAACCTGTTGGATCATTATAGATCGGAGCTTACCTCAAAAGAAAAGATGCATCTAGCTTTGGAAAAATTATTAAATCATTACATAGCGCACATGTTTATAAAATCAAATACTTTATTTTTGGGATGTTGTAATGGATGCAATTTGGCTGGTGGGACAATGCTATAAAGTATAGATTTGATTGCAACCCACAAAGCATGCGACGCCCAACTACTTTATTTCTATCCACGCAGCCGGCGGCTACTCCACTCCAGCATTACTGCAAACCAACCAGAGAGCAACAAGTGGAATATATGTCCTTTGTGTACTCAATTTTTTTTTGGGTGGTTTCCAACGTGATCATTTGACGATATCAAATTTTTATGGGTAATATTATTTTTACTTAAAAATTTAATGTAATTTTTGTTTACTTAATAATGTAATTTTAATAAAATTTTTGGATCAATACAAAGTTTCAAGATATGATGGGCCTACAATCAATTTAAAAGTCATAGTGAATTAAGTCCCAATAACACTACTCAATTTTTATATATACAAAGATTTGAATGGATATAATCAATTGTATATTTAATTGTGAAACTTTCATCACTCTGTCAATTAGGGGTGTAATTTGGATAGGTCAACTCGAATTTAACCCGAAACTCATCCGAACAAAATAAGGCTTGAGTTGAGATTTTTAATACTTTAATTGGGTCTAAGTTAAAAAATATTAACCCGAATTGAATTTGGACAATACCTGAGTTGAGACCTCTGATTATCAGATTCAACCAGAATATTATGTTTAAATATTAAGTCCAGTATGCCTTTTTATGTTAATTTGAATATTATGTTAATTGGGCTATTATAAGTATTATGTCTTTATGTTAAGAAAAGTGCAATTTAGTTTTTGTCCAGTATGTTTTTTTTATATTTTAAATACTATGTTCTTTATGTTAAACATTTGATTGAAATTACTTATCGTTGCTTCATGTGAATATTATGTAATATTTATCAAATTTAAAACAACAGGTTGATTTCGAGCCTGAAGAAACCCAACTTGAATCCAAACATAAAATAAGCCCGAATTGGATAACTCAAATTCACCGGAGCCCGCACAAATCCAACTTGGGCGATACTTGGGTTAAGTATCTTGAGTTGATGTCGGGTTAGGGTTAAAATTAGGATGAAAGATTTTATACTTAAGGTTATCCTCTCAACCCGTCTAAATTGCACCCCTATTATCAATGTCATTTTAGGATCTGAAAAACATTAAAATTAAATAGTTTTATCTATTTTCATAAATTAAACATGTGACACTCATATTATAAATGAAAAGTTATATTGTTGTGCAAAGACAAATCATTAATATAAAAAATGTTATGCAATTGCCCTCTTTACAAGAAAGACGTTACAACAATTTTTTTTTTTTTTTTTTTGTAAGTAATGGATCTCACACAAAGTTACATTCGATGATGAAATATTTAGGAACTACAGATTCATTTTAAATCTCAAATTTCATGACGTAATTAGGATTTGAGATAAACTAAATTGTTCAAGGCCTATTATCTTGCAATGTCTTTGTATAAATAGTTTGATTCTTATTGCTTTCATGCCACTTTTTCATAATTCTTCATTAATAGAAACTAAACAATCTTGTAATATATGTAAACCTTTGTAGCTTAAATACACCTTTTGATGGACGCATGAGGCACCTATGTTAGTACGTAGGTTCGGTTCCTCCTTTATATCCGGAGGGATGTGGGTTGTGTCTTTTATGTGACCGAGAAAAACAGAGAATTTTTATTTAATAAAGTAGCTTTAGTAGAATTCAGATCTCCTATATAGTACATAATCACCGTTTATTGGTAGTCACCCAAATATATTGAATGGGCTTCACTTGAATTCATCGCCTATGATCTTCAATTAAATAAAATTATAAGAGATCTTGCCCATTCTTTTTAACTTACTTCTATTTGTCTATTTTTTGAAACATTAAATGAAAAGTCTAAATAATAATAATTGAGTCTATTTGAGACAAAATCTAGATTTTTTTCAATATTTTTTCTTTCTATTTTCTTTCGTGAAAAATCATTCACCGTTTATGAGTGAGATACCCATTTTTTGAACAATGGATCCCACGTTTTTTGACGATAAGTGATCTATTATAAAAAAAAAAAAAAAATGAATCGAAGCAAATCACTGTGGGATGGAATTTGGCCACCTATTCAATTTATCCATACTAATTAGGCCTGACAATTGTGTCGAGTGAAACGGTTTCGTGTTGGATAGAACGAGTTTGTGTTAAAAAATCCACCATCCATACCCTATTCGTTTATATAAACGAGTCTAACTATCACACCCATACACAAATCGTTTATTAGACGAGTTATTCGATATTACCCGTGTGTCATCCGCTAAATAAGAGAATATGTTAGATAATTTCAACTTTACATAAAAAATTATTAACTCGCCGCACATTACACATGTTTGACCTATTTACTATAACAATAAATCATGATTGAAAAAAAAAATAAAGACAAAAAATAAACATTAAATGACTACTAAATTTGAATAATTCTGAGAGATGGGAGGTGTGAGATGAGACAAAGGCTGAGAAACCTAACTTGTATTTTAAAAATTTATTGTACCACTCTTAACGAGTTAAACGGGTTGAAACGAGTTTATGGGTTAAACACGAAACTGGTTCGTTTATTTCACGGGTTTGTCTAGTTAACCCTTTAACCATCCAAACTCATTAAAATTACACCTAAATTTGCTAAATTCGTATCGAATTCATGTTAGTTTCACAAATCGTGTCTAGAATTATCAACCCTAATACTAATTCCAATCAGGGGTGTTTAATTCTTATAAGCACAATCACCACAACTTTATAAGGGAAACATAATTATAAATGGATTTTAAGAAAATTAAATATTTTGCAATTAATCAACAATTGTAAAGAAGTCATAATTCGTTTGACTATTTTACCGCCAAATGGAAAAATCCCTAGAAAAAATGGTTAAGATTCTATACGTGGCAAAAAATAATATCAGGGTAATCAGGTCAAGCAGAGTCCAACTAGGTAGCAACCATTATGTGATTGGTCTTTTTTGTCGGACTTCTGCACTGTATTTTCTGATGTTATTCGTCTTTCTCTCTCTTTTAACTCCGCGTCCGACTGCGTAGCGTCCTCCCAGCAGATTCATAAGCTTATATAAGCAGATAGAGAGTGAGAGAGAGCTGAATTCATGTAAACTGAATTGAGCTAGGTTCTTGAAGGATTTTTGTAGAGAGAGAACAAGATTGATGAACATCATGGTTCAAGGGCTTGGGTATAATGGGATTGTGTTCTCGACTGATAAGAATGGTGGGTTTGGTGGATTCTCTGCTTCGGAGGAGTTTCAGAGTCCTCCTCCTCTGTTTGACTCTGTGAATTCACAGAGTAATGTTTGTTATCAGAGCTCTGAAGAAGTTGTGTCTAAGAGGATTAGACTCTCACCCGAGTTCAATCTACAGGTTTTGAATTTCTATGTTCAGTTTTGGTTCTTGTAATAATTGGATTTTCATTCTTGTGCAGTCTTCTATATGTGATTTATGGGTTTTTATTGTTGCATTGTGAGCGAGGCTTTGATTCTTGCATGTGTTTTAGGAAGGTTGATATTGATTTCAGCCATTGCTCTCCGTCTCTCACGCATACACGCACTCAAACCCACAGAGGAATTTGATCTGGTTTTTCAATTTCCTTCTTTTAGATTGAATAAATGTTTCATTGGTTCATGCGTGAGAGACAGAGTCCCCTTCTCTCTCTCTCTCTTAGTCACGTATCACACAGAAACGCACACACCCAAACACACACACACACACAGAGGAATATAGTTTATTTTTTCTTTATATCTCACCTTTTCACTGACATATGCATGCGAATTGCAGTAATTTTTCCCCTTTTTGAACCTTTTGTGGGTTTTCCCTAGTTAATCAGTGGATTTAGCTTATATATTACCCAACGGTTGAAGAGCCTTTCTTGTTTGAAACTTGTATTGAATTTCTTTCACGAATAGAGTTCTCTGTTTTCAATAGCTCTTTCTTTCTGCCTTTTGCAGGAAGAGGAAATCAACTCTTCTGAACAGAGCAGTCCTCTTGGATTGACATTGAGAAAGACACCATCTTTTCTTAATTTTCTGGAGATGAAGCTATCCCAATCAAAGAAATCAAATTGTTCCACCCAGATTGATGATTTTCTGTCTCAACCTATGCCTGAGAAGCTTAAGGCTTCCAACTTCCCTGCATCATTACTTAGAATTGGCTTTTGGGAGGTAAACCTTTTATTTTCGTGCAATGAAAATTAAATTGAAGTTGCATGTTTTTTTTTTTTTTTGATTACTTTTCTTGGATTGTGTTCTGGAAAATGCCTGATAAATAAAAATTTTAGCAGAGAATTTCCAGGCATGAAGGTGATTTGGTTGCAAAATGTTACTACGCCAAAAGGAAATTGGTGTGGGAAGTTTTGGAAGGGGCATTGAAAAGCAAGATAGAAATACAATGGACTGATATTTTGGCGATTAGAGCCATTATTCGTGATAATGAACCGGGAATTTTAGAAATTGAGGTTGACCCTTTCACCCCTTTTTTTTTTTAATGTACATTGGTTTAAATCATGGAGTATTCAACTATTGGGATTTTAATTTGAAGTGGTGGATGTCATGCAGTTGAACCAACCGCCATTGTTTTTTCAAGAGACTATTCCCCAGCCGCGGAAGCACACTCTTTGGAAACAAGGATCAGATTTTACTGGTGGTCAAGCTCCCATTTGCAGGTTTCAAGTTTGTCTTTGTTTTTTGTCTCCTTCAATTTATGTTTGTTTAGCAGCTGTTCAAGAAATGTTTAAAGATGCTATTGTTTGAAGCCAACCTTATTCTTAGAAGAAAATTTGAAGTTCTGAGTATGTGGTCTTTAAAAATAAGAAGTGTCGCTGTTTACTCATTGTTTTCTACCAAAAATACAGAAGAAAATTTGGCTACTTCATTACAACAGCTTCTTTCTTTCTTTCTTCCTTTTGTTTTTGGGTCTAGATATCAGCTTCTTTCCAAAAATTCCATCTATTAGGTGTATTTTGGTGTTCGTTTCAATTTTCAATTTCAAAGCTGGAAACAGCAAGATTTGATAACATGAGACTTTCAACTTCTACCAAGTTAATCCAAGCAAATTTCTTAATTTTTTTTTTTTGTTGTTGAGCCAGTGTCCCATAGCGTCATTAACTTTAAAAGGAAATCTGTTCTTGTTGTTGGACCTGACGTACTAAAAATGTCACGTAAATTCATGACATTTTTGTAGGAGGCACTATGTTATGTTTCCTCCAGGAGCACTTGATAAACACTACGAGAAGCTTTTACAATGCGATCAAAGGCTACTAATGCTGAGCCAAAGACCTTTTCCAAGTCAGGAATCTCCTTATTTCCACTCAAATATCTACAGATTTNTAAAAAATCTCAATTTACACCTTCAAAGATAGAAATTTATATCAATGTGCATCCCCAAAGATAAAAACTCTCAATTTGTACCCTCAAAGATAGAAATTTGTATCAATGTACATCCCCAAAGATAAAAAATTTTAATTTGCATCTTCAAAGATAGAAATTTGTATCAATGTACACCTAAAATTAAATTGATAAATTATACCTAGATCCCCTTATGTTTGTCACTTAATCATTTGAACTTCTTCATATTTAGAATATTCCCCTTACATCTCGTGACGTTTGTGCATGTGTAACACATAACCACTTTTCGTTGATATCTGTTAATATAATCGTTAAAAAATATGATTTTATCCTCATAAAAAATTATAATTTCATATTACTTTTTATTTTGTGGATTCGATATACTCTAAAGTTGAAAATCAATCTTATCATTTGAATGTCTAATAAAATGTAGATATTTATATAAAAGGTAATATGAAAAACATTATATAAATATTTACATTTTATTAGACATTCAAATGGTAAACTAGATTTTGAACTTTATAATATATTGAACCCATAAAATAAAGGGTAATATGAAATTATAATTTCTTTTTAGAATAAAATTATATTTTTTAACGGTTATATTAATAGATATCAATAAAAATGAGTTACGTATTATACGTGTACAAATGTCATAAGATGTAGGAGTAATATTTTAAATGTGAAGAGGTCTAAATGATTAAGTGACAAGTATGAGGGGATCTAGGTATAATTTATTAATTTAATTTTAGGTGCACATTGATACAAATTTCTATCTTTGAGGGTGTAAATTGAGATTTTTAATTTTTGAGGGTGCAAATTGAGATTCGAACAATCTTTTGAGGTGTAAAATAAGATTAACCCTTAACTTTAAAAGGATATCTGTTCTTGTTGTTGGACCTGACGTACTAAAAATGTCACGTAAATTCATGACATTTTTGTAGGAGGCACTATGTTATGTTTCCTCCAGGAGCACTTGATAAACACTACGAGAAGCTTTTACAATGCGATCAAAGGCTACTAATGCTGAGCCAAAGACCTTTTCCAAGTCAGGAATCTCCTTATTTCCACTCAAATATCTACAGATTTACAGAATTTTCCATTGGTTTCAATGGCCGCTACCCTGCAGCTTCTCCAGAAGGGACTGGACTGCAACATGAATTCGCAAATTTTCCTGCTCATTTAGTTCTTCAGCCTCATGTTCAAAATTTCAAACCAATGCCCAGATCACCTCTTTCTGCTATGCACTCAGATTCACCAATGTCAGGTATATGATTGCTAAACAAAAGATGTCTTTCTGTTCTGTGACTAACTTTAAGAATACATTGTTGATTCTTCTGTTTCTCTAATGAGTTTTGTAGTTATGGATTTCTCGCATATGGAAGAGAGAGCCAGAAACTACACGTTTGAGAATCCGGGTACAGGATATTGGGGTAATGAAGGAGGAATCAACATTCCAACTCAAGAGTCGTCCGCAATTGCCTTGGCTGCAAATGGCAACACAACTTCTCTTTGTCAAAATTATAATGTATTGAATCATGGGGAAGTAGAAAGACTGTATACTCAAAGCACTGGAAGACTAATGGACATTGCAAAATATTTGCTAGATGACTCGCAAGGAGTATGCTCTGATGAAAGAAAACGCCTCGAAACAGAGAGTTCATTGATAGAGCTACAAGGAGTGAAACCCATTGCCACAAATCACGTGGAATATGCACATGAAAATGATCATCTCAAATTGGATTCTACTGAGCAATCTGGAGTAGATAATGAACAGCTTTGCCCAAATTCCATCTCTTGGTTGCCTCTTCTGGATCCCCAAGGAAGTATGATGACATATCCAAACATCTTCTCGGAGCAAATAGAGGAAGAATTTGCAGCTCTAGACTCCACCCAAGAGATTGTATTTCCTCAATCATTACGCCAAATCCAGAGAAATTGTATTTGGATTAATCAGCCTTATTAGCTGAAAATTCTCCTCTCGTCACTTGGTATAGATCAATGGGTCTAGCAAAAAACACCATAATAAAATNGAAGTTGATTTGGATTAATCAGCCTTATTAGCTGAAAATTCTCCTCTCGTCACTTGGTATAGATCAATGGGTCTAGCAAAAAACACCATAATGTACAAATATTTACATATTTTAAAAGATGTTTTACCTTCTATAATTGCATAATTAGGGGTAATTTGTACCTAAAGACACGGTACAATATGAATGATTTTGAGAAAGATGTTAATGCCTGTTGGATGAGTCTATTTGAAACTGTTAGATGAGTTTATTGAAGCATATCCTATTTTGTATTATAGATAATAGATAGGATAAGGTTATGGTACCAAATATAGTTTTTACTCATAGGGGCAGACCCAGAAAATCTTCTTAGGGTGGGACACTTTAATTTTTTTTCGTAATTGATAAACTTAAGATGATACACTAATTATTTTCATCATTTTTTATACTTGAAAATTCACTAAAAATAAAAGAATGAAAAATTGTTATACATTATTTATGCATGCAAAAAATAGTTAAAAGACTATTTACAAACATTTACAAAAAAAAAAAAATTGAAGCTAACTACAATAATTTACAATTAACTTTGACTAGTTTTAACATTTTACAAAGCGTTGCATGAAAACTTAATCAGCAATGTCATTAAAAATGTATTTTTTTTGTATAAAATTATATTATCAGTCTCCCAATTATCATCATTCAATTAAACAATCGAGTTTTTATAATCATTACAACTCAAAATTGCAAGTGTTAAAATTAACGATATAGATACAAGTAAATAAACAATAAATATATTACGTCTTTTGTAGTCTTAATCATTTCTTTGAGCAAGAATGCCAATCTTTTTTCAAGATTTGAACACTTGATGTTAATGCATACACCATTAATATAATTGTCAAGTTAATCAAAAGTGCAGAAAGCGACCTAGTATTGTAGTTTTGTCACCCATTATCTGGACATCAAATTAAGATAAGTCGTGTCTCCCTAGAGGATAATATATTGCTAGAGGGTTGCCTTATAATCGGAATTCACGCCCTCACTGATCACTTTTTCTCTTCTCTCTCAGTAGCTCATTTTGATCTGATTAGAATAATCTTCTTCCAAGCTTAATTCCAAATTTTGTTGTATACATATGTGAATATTTAAGTACATTGTTTATAAATATTCTCTTCTTTCACACAATTTCACTCAACAATAAATCGCTTATTATAAATAGGAGATCCCATTTGAATTATAGTAGATGATCTAATGTTGAAGGGAATTGTAAGAAAATATATATAGTGATTAAGGCTTTTTTTTTTTGGGTGGGGGCTGAGTGATCAATGCCTTTACTCTCATGATTTTCAAATATTTGATCATGTAGTGTATATTTCGATTGAAGTAACTGTATTTATGGGAATCCTTCACTAATACACAGGTCAAACTTCAGCTATCTAAAACCATAACCAAAGAAAAATAAATATTATGATGCTCACATCATTCTAATAAAATCTTGATTGCATAGTTTTTTTCCTTATTGATAGTCGATTTTGATACAGTTTTGAAGTTGCCCTATCACATCTTTGACATCATTCATTCATCACTTCCTAAATTCCATTTTCACTATAATACTCTGGCTGTTACGCTGTGTTTAGTACATAGTATTAGAGTTTAGGAATGGAATCATCATTTTTTAATAATATTTTGTATTTGTCAAGTTCATGTTACTATCTAATTCCATAGAATTTTGGACAATAACGATGGACAATGACAATAAAAATTCATGTTACTGTCTAGTTTTGTGAAATTTGGACAGTGATAATAAAAANTTTGTATTTGTCAAGTTCACGTTACTATCTAATTCCATAGAATTTTGGACAATAACGATGGACAATGACAATAAAAATTCATGTTACTGTCTAGTTTTGTGAAATTTGGACAGTGATAATAAAAATTCACTATCGTTGCAACTATCTTTGTCTCAATATCACTGTCATATTTCACTGCTACTGTATCACTGTCCTTTGTTAGTGTTACTGTTTGGATTTGTCGATTATGTTACAGTCGGAGTCCTACTCATGCCGACTTAATCGAATTGGGTCGTTGTCACTGTTCATTTTAATAATAGGAAAAATTACTAAAAGTATTACTTTTCCCCATAAAAATCAATTAAGTCTTATCATTTTTGTTTTATATCAATAAAGTCCTATTTTTGATAATTTATTTCAATTAAATCCTAAATTCTATTATATTTCAATTTTATCCTTACCCTTTAGTTACCAAAACCTTTTCATTCTTTTGCATTCTTAAAACCAATTAAGAGGACAAAATTTCCTTGCTTATAAAATTAACATCGGAACCCATAAAAAAACTCAACTAACATAATTTCATGGCATGACTCAAAGAAATCCCACATTTTCTTATTTTCCTATCTCATTGGGGTACCTAATCTTAAAGTCCGAGATAATATTTCCTTATTATTTAATAACATAAGAAAGATTAAAAAAACTATGTCGATAATATTTTTCAATTAATTCCATTTAATCTCATTATCGATTCAAATACAACAATTAAAATAAATCCCTAACTTAATCATTTTAAATCCAATATAAATTAATACAATATGGTTTTGGTAAGATAAGCTTAAATTAATATCAATGTAGAATCTACAATTTCTATTAATTGGTTCTAAGAATGGAAAAGAATGAAAGAATTTTGGTAACTAAAGGGTTAGGATAAAATTGGAATATAATGAAATTTGAACTTAATTAAAATAAAATATTAAAAATATGACTTCATTGATATAAAAAAAATTATAGAACTTAATGAATGTTAATAGGAAAAACTAATAGTTATTGGTAATTTTTCCTTTATAATATTGTCATTAAGTGTAATTTATTCTTTGTTCTTTAAGCCCCAAAATGTTTGCTCTCGGATCAAGAGAGCAGACAGCTCGAGCGAGCTCATAGAACGAGTCATGTTTCCCTCCGTGGCATTTTTCCAATTTCTTTCCTAAGTTATGAAGAGACCATTCTAGTGAAAACTAGCGAGAATAAGGCGGTCCGTACTAATTTTTTTAAGCTTAAAATCATGCAAAAAGTTGGCCTCTTGAGTGCTAAAAGGTATTGTTCAAGAGGGGTCCGCTAATGACTCAAACTATGTTTTCAAAATATCAAATGATTTAGAAAATCTTTTTTATTTCAAAACACATAGGGGCCATAAACAGATTGCTTCCAATTCTATTTAATCATAGTCATCCTAAGTTAAAATAATGGTCCATTCGATGATATGTCACTCCCACTATCTCTAAGGAGTGAAGAAACTACTTTCTCAGTTTCTACTTAGTTAAAGGATATATTATCTAATTCCTAGAGTTATATTCTTTTAGACACGTCTTCTTTACTAAAAAAATCCTCGTCAAGAAAAATCTCATCTCGTGACTCAATTTTAGTTATCCTTCCATCAAGTTGTTCACCTGTTAATACATAGCCTTTAAGTGCTCAAACTGGTGGATGAAGATAAATTTCTTCTCTCTAGAACCTAACTTCCCGTACTTATGAGAAGTGTAGTGATCATAAGCCGTTGAATTTCATGGTTGTAAATTGTTTAAGTCATGTTTTGCGCCTATCCATAACCCATATGGGGTAGAAGGAACTAATTTAAGAATATCGACAACAATCAATAAAGCATCTCCCTAATACGAAATTAAAAGATTGGTCTACACCATCATCAACTTAACCATGTCAAGTAAGGTACAATTTCACCTTTTCGTTACAGTACTTTGTTGTAGAGTGCCAGATATTGTCAATTTCCTAATTATTCTTTTTTATTCACATAGTTTTTTAAAATTTTTAGATGGATACTTGTGACCTTACTCAATGCTCAATCAATTCTAAAAGTCTTACTGCTCATATCTCCTTGGTTCTCAACTTCTTTAATGTAAAGTCTGAAACAATCCAGTGCATTGGAAACTTATCAGAAATCAAATAGACATGACCGAAATGCTTAAAGTCATCTACAAAAGTGATGAAATATGATCCACCATGTCTTGCCTTTGTATATACTAGGCCACACATATCTAAATTTATTAATTGCAAAAGCACATATGCCCTTTTGAGCTTTCCAAATGGTTTTCTAGTTGCCTTGTGAGCAAGATAATTTTCACATGTAGGCAAGTTGGCTTTAGCAAATAGGTCCAAAAGTCCATCTCTAGCTAATTTGTTCATTCTATCTTTTCTGGTATGACTTAATCTATCATGCCATATAATAGTGTTAACATCATCAATAGATGTAATTAAGAATAAAATTCATTACTAGGATGACCAATATCTAATACAATAAAATCATCTATGATTTAACCAAATCCATAAAATGTGATTCTCTTTTAAATGCCAACATGCTGGCTTTCAAAATGAAAAATAAAACTTAGTCACATTAAGCTAGTAACCGACAACAAATTTTGTCAGATTCATAGGTTATATAATATATTGCAAATGTATGGAGTGCACCTATGTCACAATTCCAGTTTGTATGTATCAATGCCAAGTACATCCACACTAGTTTCGTTCCCCATGTAAATTTTTCTACTTCTAGCTGGAACTCGATGATACTCCATAAATTCAAATATATGTCATGTTCTGTAGTTTGTTGCTCCCGAGTCTTCAATCCATGAATTAGGACGATAAGCAACAAAAATTTGACTAATAACTAAACAATCACTATGAGAGACAAAACGAGAGAATACCTTCTTCAACTTTGTGCATTCACAAGCATAGTAACCCTTCTTTTTGTAGATATAGCAGACCACATTGGCTTTATTTTTCTTGCTAGCTCTTTTGACCTATTTGTGCTTGTTAAAACAAGTGTGACCAACCCCAGTTTGAGCCTCGTACATTTTTCGAAGTCTCTTGGCCTTGGACACAAATATCTCGCTAGCTAACCTCAACGACATAAGAGCTACTCTCACCTTTGGCAGCCTCTAAGCACTTAACTTCATGCTCTAGGTGATGTGATATATCCTTGAATATTTTCATACTCTCATTATCTGTTATGTTTTTTTTCATATGCTCCCTTGATAGTGGAAGGGAGCGAAGTATAGCTTGAACATGTTGTTCATCGGTTAACACATGACTAATAGTACCTAAATCGTGTGTCATACATGCCATAACCCTGAAGTGTTGTTTCTTTATACGTTGTGGTTTCCTCCTATACTAGTAAAACTTCATGGTCAAACCACGAATCCTAGCTTGAGAAACAACATCAAACTTCTCTTTAATGGTCTTCCACATGGTGTGAACGGGGGGATAATTCTCAAATTTAGGAATAATGTCATTATGCATGCCCCTTTCAAAGTGAAGCGGAAAAATTGATATGTATTATACAAAGATTGATATTCTATTAGTATTAGTGACTCTAGGGCCACTCAGACTTTGGCTTTACAAAGTCAAGTGTATCCAAGATTTGTTGATCATGCAAGACAAATCGAACTTATGACTCATACATCATAGTTATCACCGTTCAATTTGTCGTCTTTAGTTAATTAAGCCACCATACTTTTGATTATGATCTAATCTGCACATAAAGACATTGCATAAGAGATTAACACAACAACTTCTAGAATTTTTTTGTAAAAATTTAAATTAAAGAATTAATGTTTTTCACAAGTCGCATAATCGAAAGTTCACAAAGTTCTTAATCATTTCTTAGGCCATGGGTGATTATTATTAACACTTAATTTAATTAATGCATAAAANCTACATAAGAGTTACTCTCACCTTTGGCAGCCTCTAAGCACTTAACTTCATGCTCTAGGTGATGTGATATATCCTCGAATATTTTCATACTCTCATTATCTGTTATGTTTTTTTTCATATGCTCCCTTGATAGTGGAAAGGAGCGAAGTATAGCTTGAACATGTTGTTCATCGATTAACACATGACTAATAGTACCTAAATCGTGTGTCATACATGCCATAACCCTGAAGTGTTGTTTCTTTATACGTTGTGGTTTCCTCCTATACTAGTGAAACTTCATGGTCAAACCACGAATCCTAGCTTGAGAAACAACATCAAACTTCTCTTTAATGGTCTTCCACATGGTGTGAACGGGGGGATAATTCTCAAATTTAGGAATAATGTCATTATGCATGCCCCTTTCAAAGTGAAGCGGAAAAATTGATATGTATTATACAAAGATTGATATTCTATTAGTATTAGTGACTCTATGGCCGCTCAGACTTTGGCTTTACAAAGTCAAGTGTATCCAAGATTTGTTGATCATACAAGACAAATCGAACTTATGACTCATACATCATAGTTATCACCGTTCAATTTGTCGTCTTTAGTTAATTAAGCCATCATACTTTTGATTATGATCTAATCTGCACATAAAGACATTGCATAAGAGATTAACACAACAACTTCTAGAATTTTTTTGTAAAAATTTAAATTAAAGAATTAATGTTTTTCACAAGTCGCATAATCGAAAGTTCACAAAGTTCTTAATCATTTCTTAGGCCATGGGTGATTATTATTAACACTTAATTTAATTAGTGCATAAAATTTCAATTTTCTAATATCGAACAAAAATAAATCTCTCATTAGATCAAATATCTTTAGGCAATGTCGATCATCATTAATTTTGATGATGCACAAAATAGAATTTTGTACAATCAACAGTCGGGTGTATGATTCAAAATAATTAATGAGACAATCAATAAAGTAATTAATAGAAGAAGGTAAAGATTAGGTCAACACAGGCAACAAACAGATGTATAGTGGTTCGATCAAGGTGACATGCTCTACTTCGAAGGTGGCGACAATTGCCGAAGAACTTTATTAATAAATTAGATGGTGCGGGAGAGAGCAAGCGTAAGCTCTAGGAGAGGTTGGGTAGCTATGAGAGGTAGCTTGTGTAAGGGTGTGTAGAAAGATACAGAGGTGTGTAAAATGTGTATCCCTCATGTGTAGATAGTTTACAATTTATAAGCATTGAGCATTAGTTGAGGTGGTGACGTGATGGCTAGGCTACAGGCTTTTCGGAGAGGATATCTACAATTAGGATAGATACAATTAAAGATAGCGTTGATCTTTGAGAGTGGTTATCCTGGTAATTACTCCCCGCGTGTGCTAATATTCTCGGACCTCTTGAACCTTGGACTAAGCTGAGTCCATGAGCTAGGCTTGGCCTGTTTTGTAGTTGATTTTGAGCTTACTTGATTAATTGGGTCTGACCCAGCTGGATCTGAGCTCATCATTTGCCCCCATACTCCAAGCCCTTGCGATGACANTAGCCTGCTTTGTAGTTGATTTTGAGCTTACTTGATTAATTGGGTCTGACCCAGCTGGATCTGAGCGCATCATTTGCCCCCATACTTCAAGCCCTTGCGATGACAAGAGATTGAGGGCATGAGTGAGCCTCTTCGTCAAACAGATAAAAGGTTTCTTGTTTCGCACGATGGTAGCTTATTCATTCCCTCAATCATGAAGCTTTTGAAAACTTCATGCTGGGCACCCATTGCATTGGCCATCATCTTTTGTGGTGGGTATTCACTAAACTTAAGCCCTTTTTTACCTAGGGCTCCAATCTTTGGGGCTTTAAAAAGTTCCTTCATTCTACCCAAAACAACTCTTTTGGAACTGGGGCTTAGAAACACCCCCACCTCTTTACCCTATTAATCATTTAGAGAGAGGCTCAGGAAGATGAAAAAGGGAACCTTAATGCTAGGGGAAAGTTCACGGGACTCCATGGTCGATGCTTTTGCCTCCTCTATATCCAAGCAGGTTGGTGGCAGAGCAAGTTTTACCTGTGTTGGGAGGTTGGTCAACATTCATGGTGTGGCCATCAGCGATGCCCAGAGCGTGACTGGAGAGGCCACCATGAGGGGCAGTGAAGACGGCGACGTTCATGGCACGATCTGCAATGCTTCAGTTGTCCAAGGTGGCACCCATGGTGCGTTAGGCAACGCCTTAAAGGCTGGAGGCATGGGAGGCTATTTAGATGGGGACCTAGGTGGCACGGACAACAACTTGGGTTACGTGTAGGATGGCGGCACCCGTGACGGGGGTGAGCTAAGTGGCAACACCAATGGGACCAATCCCTTCTACATTGATCTGGATAAAGATAGGGGCAACAATGCATTGACCTAGGCATTGGGTGACGTAAGCGAAGCGCTGGGCGGCACCAGCGCCCTAGGTGATGCCTTCAGTGACTCCCTTGATAGTAGAAAAGAATGTGGCACCTCTAAGTGGACCCAACCACTGGGCAAATCTAGTGATACGTTGGGTAGCGCCAACGCGCAAGGTAGCGTCGACGGGTTGAACAAATCAGGCACAAGGGCAATATTGAGAAGCAGCCGAGGTGAAGTAGAAGTAGCCCAGGCCATGGGCGACGCCAAGGCAAGAGAGGTCAACGATGGACTACTGACCAACGCCAGCCAAGTGCCAAGTAGGTGCTGCGTACGCCAAGTAGCACCATGAATGCGTTGGGAACGCTAGGCATGAGACACAGCAGGCTAAACACCATTCGTAGTGAGCTAGGTGGTGCCAGTGGTAGCATTGAATTGGACTATAGAAGAAGATAAGGTACCATCTTTCAACTAGGTAATCTAACCTTGTTAATAATTTCTTTTTGATCCCGGTACCTTTCACTTTTATTGGTTTCTCCTTTGCCAGGTACCTGAATTGGTAGGGGTAGCACAGTGGAGGTTGCTTGATGGTTTTTCCTAATCTCCAAACACGAACCCAAATTGGTGAGTGCCACTCTCCCTTGAAGTCATGCAAGAAATGAGAAAAATCGTGTGTGAACAAAAGCATGTGTGTGTGTGTGCAAAAGTGCTCCCCAAGCGAAGAGAGACTTGTAATGTCATGTTTTACTTGGAATGGGTATTCCAAAATCGTCTCCTCAGGGTAAGAAGGTCAAATTGTTTGAAGAATGATTTGAAAAGAAATGAAAAGTGTAAAATCTTGTGAATTTCAGTTTGGTGAGCTGTGTTTTGATAAGAATGAAAGAAAACAAGGTTGGCTAATCTAAAGAGGTCATTTTAATGAGAATGTCAAATCAACATAATTCATTCAACCAATGGTGTCTCGGTGTTTGATTGATTTGTTGGATGTGAGGGACTAATGTGGAGGTGTTGGCTCAAGCATACCCCGTGACAAGTCTACAGTGTATCAAGAGCTCACAACCATGTTCGCACTCAACCTAGTCAAACCAAACACTTTACACTACGAGGAAGAATAGAAGAGAGTTGATTTCACATACCCAAGAGGAAAATTCCCCTTGGATTAGCCAACTAAAAGTCTAGCTACTCATAGTCAAAGTAAGAACAAACATAATGTAAAGAGACATAGTGATGAAATGAAGCATTAAACTTGTATTGAAACTAGAAAGGTTTAGACTGCAAGAGTAAATTCATTCATACCCAAAATACAAAGATTGAAGACAAATACCCAATTGAAGAAATGGAAATGCTAGAATACTTAACTAAGCTTGATTACAACTTAAATAAAATAGTTTAGAGTGAAAGAGGAAAATATTACAAGTAAAATAAAGCTTACTACAATGAAAATGGTGAAGGATATGTAAAAACCCAAATTTCTCTCTCTAAAACTTTATCTTATTCCTTGGAGCTTCTCTCTCTAAAAGCTTGTGTAAAATTCAATAATGGTGTAAGACTTGGTAATTTTCATCCATCCTCCTTCCCTTAGCCTGTGTGAATTGAGTTGCAATAAGTGGGGAGAGGTTGGACACTTGAACAAGCAAAAACAGGCCAAGCATGCTCTTCCCATACTTTCCTAACCACCCCTCTTCTCTCTCTTGCTTCCCCTCTCTCTCACTTGAAATCTGACTTTAGGGGTTAGGATAGCATCATTGGGTGTCAAACATGTCAAGAGGTAAGCCCCCGGAGTAGGTGGAGTTGTGTGGGAAAATGTTTAGAATTTTTGTGCAAGTTCTACTGGTAGAACGTCAAAAAACTACCGGTAGGAATTTTCCAATAGGGTCTTCTACCGGTAGGTTTTGCATGTCTTCTACCGGTAGGTCTTGCATGTCTTCTATCGGTAAGTATTTTCGTAAATTTACTATACCTTTTGATACCATTGTCCGATTAAGCTAAAATTTTGACACAAGATAGAGGACATCCATACCTACAATGTTTATGTTTTGAACTTTTTCATATTCAAAGTGGATCATGGTCAAAAATGGATAATACCAAGGTATCGATACCAAATAGTGCGGGTGCAGATACCAAAATTCTAGTAGGCTTGGATACTAGTACCTATGATACCAAGTACCGCTACCTCCTTGATTTCTTTCACTTTAAAGCCTTCTAATCCTTATGTACCGTGTCCATCTCTTCACCACTCATCCACACCTAGTTGTAGGGTTTTGAAAACCATCATTTACTGCGATTACCTGCAATATCAAAATTTATACATTATTCATAAATTCTACTAACTCTAAGTTATTAAATGCAAAGTTAAGTTAAAAAGCATGTAATGAAGCCATTAAATATGCTATATTACGTGCTCATCATATGTTAAGTAGACTTCGCGACAAGGCAAAGGAGATGTTGAAGGCGTCGGGTCAAAGGTATCTTCGATTTTTAGTTCGATAGAATGTGATGATGATATCGCCTATATTGTATCTTCGTACAATATCCCTTCTGCTATTATTTGTCACCATGTTGAGGGGGACAAGCCAACTTGTTACGACTCTTCGGGAGAGATTGTTCTTTACGAGGACGTCCTAGAGGCGGGTTTGAGGTTCCCGATACCCGAACCCACATGTCAAATTTTGGGACACTTATCACTGACTCTAGGGAGGTTGACTCCCAACGGGTGGAGGGTGATCCTAGCATTCTTCTCATTATGGCGGCTAGTTCACAATGTTGATGTTCCTTCCCCTTTCGAGAGTTTTTGACTTCATACGTTCTTTTGGATAACCCTACTCCTCATCAATGGTGGTACTGCTTTGGCCTAAGGTTGGGCAAATTTATTACTGGACTACCCTCGAATTGCCATAGCTGGAAGTGTAGATTCTTCTTCGTTGGAGGTGAATGGGCCCTGAGAGGGATCGTGACTTAATGCCTTCAAGGTGGGACATTGCTTTGATGACCAAGCTAGGTAAGAATTTCATCTTTGCTTTTACATCTAGACATCATGTCCCTTTACTTACTGCACACTTGGGTTCTTTGCAACTTTCCCCACGTTATCTCTAGAGCAGGAGAGTAGGCTTCAGGTCGTGCAGGATCATCCCTTCAAGGAGTTTTCGGCCATCATGTCTACGTTGGGATGTTCCAGAGCATCTCCTAGGTAGAAAAGGAAAGGTATTTGACCCTCTCAACTGACTTTTGATTATTATGACTTTGTAGACTCTTCGTCTCACCCCAACTCCAATGGTTTCACTATTGATAGAGCAATGGTGGAGGCTCTTTATGCTTTTAGGGTGACATTTTTCCCTCTTTTCTCTAAGAAGGTGAAGTCTGATGCCCCCAGGGTTTCTCAGCGACGTCTTTTGGCCAGGTTACTTCCCAGGAGATGGGACCTAGTGAATGCCCCCACTTTTTCCCCAGCTGCGACTCCATTGCATTCCAGAGCTCGCCCTAGTCCAGCTGTAGGGATTAAGGCTCCAAAGCAATCTCCTATGAGAACCAGAGCTCCACATAACTGTCATGCTTCCAGTAGTGGTTCGGTATCCATGTTGCAGTTCGTTAATCTAGCCAAGGAGCGAATTTTGGGGTTTGTGACCGCTACGGAGATCCAAGAGGTTGGCTCTAGAGGTCCAGAGGGCATCATTGATACTGTTATAGAAGGCTTTGCTATGGTATACTATTTGCTCATCTTTGATTTTGTACCCACTGTTTTTCCCTCATGTCCTATTTTTTGCATGGTTGTGGGTGGCTGTCGTTTTTCCTTGCCTGTTTTTGAGGACGATGAAGCCTAGAAAGGCATTCAAAGATCTAGCAGCAGAGAGGCAGACACGAGGGGCTGTTAAGGACCAGTTGACACTAGAGAGGTAGGCACGAGAGGTTGTCGAAGAGTAGTTGAAGCTAGCTTATGAGAGAGTTACGCCTCTAGAGGCCAAGCTTTTGGTGTCTCACTAGAGGGCTACTCAGTTGAAGGCTGACAAAGAGGCTGTTTGCGCGAGAGTAGAGACAGAGTTATAGGCGTCCTATAAAAGGGCCGTTGGAGCTGAGGCCAAGCTACAGATAGCTTGGGAGAGCGCTGTCGTGGCAGAGGCTAACCTTCGAGTAGTTCTTGAGAGAACTACCAGGGTAGAGGCTCACTCCATTAAGATGAAAAATATGAGGGAGGTTGCTAAGAGGACTGTAGGGAGCGCCTTTATCGATGGTTATAAGGAACTTTTCTTGCCTTTGACTTTTCTAGCTACATCCCTTGTAAGGCACTAAGGAGTGATGGTAATGAGGAGAGCTTTGATGAGAGTGGATCAGTGAGCAGTGAGTGATGTCAAGGGTGTAACACTTTCATCTTTTTTGTTTTTGTTGCTAAGTCATGTTCTACTTTTGTAAGTGATCTATGAACTTCTATGGAGTAAGAGACAACTTTTGAAAAAGACAAAATCTTGCAAAAATTTTATTTCATAATTTGAAGTAGATAACAACAAAGATTGACTAAAACAATCAGAGGTAGTTTAAACGAGGACTACTGACTTGTGCACCCACTAACTTCCCCCTTACTATTGGTAGTACCTTTTTAGATGTTCTACATTCAATAGAAGATGGCCTAGGACTTTTCCTTTAGATTTTTGAATTCTGTAGGTGCCTGATCTTACAACTTTTGTGACCATGTAGGGTCTTTCCTAGTTTGGACTTAACTTCTCTTCCTGAGAGTCCTTCGTAGATAGGATGAACTTTTTTAGGACTAAGTCCCCAAGTAAGAAGGAGCAAAGCTTCACTCTCGAGTTGTAGTACTTGGTCAAATAATGTTTGTACTATGCGTTCTTGAGCATGGCTATCTCCCTCTCCTCCTCTACCAATTCAAGGTTGATGTGGAGGTCTTATTCATTAATAGTAGGGTCATGGTGTTGGACCTTGAGGGAGTGTACTCCAATTTTGACTGGTATGACCACCTATGTCCCGTAGGCTAAGGAGAAAGGGGTCTCACCCGTGGGGCTTCTTGGCATAGTCTAGTAGGCCCATAATACGCTTGGAAGTTCATCCACCCATCGGCCCTTTGCACTTTCCAATTTGGTTTTTAGGTTGTGGAGGATGGTTCTAATGGTGACCTCCGTCTGCCCGTTCGCCTATGGATGGGCTGGTCTGGGCTGGAGTGGGGTTACTTGATTTGTGGGTTGACGTAAAAGCTAATAAGGAGTTTATTATCAAACTGTTTGGCATTATCACTGACTATGGCATGAGAAACTCTGAAATGACAGACTATACCACAAACTTGCATTGGCCCCAACTCATGGGTAAGGAACCTAGAATGTCGATCCCCCACATGAAAAAAGGCCAAGGGCTCAGGATGGTGGTGAGCTCTTCTGGTGGATGTCTGGGCACTATTATGAAGCGCTAACATTTGTCACACTTCCTCACAAACTCACGGGCATCTCTGATCATGCTAGGTTAGTAATAACCTTGCCTTACACTCTTGTGGCCTTACACCCTTGTGAGCTAGTGCATGCTCTCCTGAATGGTTTCCACATATCCCCTTATGGATCTTCTTTATGGCATAATCTCCTTCCTCGAAGATGAAGCAGCGGAGTA